GGGAGGGCACGTCCCCCGTCCCCTCACCCTGTGTCCTGCCCGTGGAGGTGCAGAGCCTCCGTAAGGAGAAGGGAGGATCCTGCCGAGTGTGCAGAAGGCAGCAGAGGTGGGCCTGCAGGTGGGAGGACTGTCCGCGCACGTGAGGACCCCAGGGAAGGCCTTCTGGAAAGCTCAGATGACCCCGCTGCTCCTCCGCCCCCGGGTGCCGTTGGCCGGCCTCTGGGGTGGGAAACGGCCAGGCCGCTGCTGGGTTTGCAGGGAGCGAGGTCTGGGCGCCGCTGTGCCCACCTCCACCCATCCCAGCGGTTGGATGGGACCCCGGTGGGTGGGCCCTCTCCGAAGTCTGCGCTGCTTTAGCATGCTGGGCCCGGCACCCCTGGTTGCTAGCGTTCCCCTCCTTGGTGCCTGTGTGTGTGGTCAGCACCGACAGCGCGGAGCTCTTTAACAAGCGAGCATGACGGGAGCTGCCGGGGCGGAGGAGACAGACAGAGGGGACGAGAGGCCCGCGCGGCCCCCAGGAGGGGAGCGTCCAGGGGGGACACGGTTTGCTCGGCGCGATGGCGGGGATGCGCGAGGGAGGTTCCTGCGATTAACCGGGCCCAACCGCTTTAACTTGTTTCTCTTTTCCCTTCCTCCTTCCCTTTGTCTCCAACCTCTTTGCCTAAATAACCGCTCCCACCTGTCTCGCGATGTGCGTGGCCCCTCGACCCCTCTGGACTGCAGACTAAGAGCCAGTGCCTTTCTGTTGAGCAGTCCACCATCTTTATGCTCTCTCAGACCTCCAGCAGTCTGAGTTTCTAACGGAACAAGGTGATGCTTTTCTGTCGTTTGGCATGGTGGGGTTATGGTCGCAGGAAGCAGAGGGCTGACCCCTCGCTGAGCCGTCCGGCACCCGTCCCGGGCTCCTGTCTGCTCAGGACGAGCGGGTCAGGAGCTACTGGGGTGACCTGTCTCTGAGACGCAGGAAGTGCGCGTGGCCCGTGCTTCTCTCTGTGTCCGTGGGAGGTCGCGGGTCCCACCTGCCCGGGTGCAGGGCTGCACTGCATCGCACTGGCTGGCGGGTGCCCGTGGCCCCTGCACACACAGGTGTGGGTGTGGCAGCTCCTACGTTGCTCGAGCCCACGTGGGCAGAGTCCACGCAGCACCAGCCCTCTCTCCGCAGCCAATGGCGGCTGGACGGCAAGACCTCCTCACTCACGCAGCTCTGCAGACCCATTGCACAGACAGGGAAACTGAGGCCCCCACGAGAGAGTGTTGTGCAGGCCCCGCAAGGCACTGCAGAAAAGACAAGGCTCAGGCTGAGCCACCCAGGCGGTGGAGAAAGCCAGGAGAGATGTGTTCGGGTCAAGTGTTTCTCCAAATTCCCTTTTCACTTTGAAAAAGAATCTGATTGTTTTTAGAGAAAACCTTAACGTTGCTGCGAGCGGCTGTGCTGGGTTATTTCTCAGCAGCATTGAGCCACGCACAGGGTAGCTGCCCGGGGCCACAGCATGCTCGTGAAGAGCCACGATTTCAGGGGCACAGTTGTCCAGGGATGGCTCCTGTCCGTGCGTCTAAAGGACACCCTTACAGAGGCCGCAACGTCAGTGATGCTTGGAAACTGTTCCTAGTGCAGCTGAGTTCATAGGAAAATACCTAAGCAAGAAAAGGCTGTGTTTTCTTTTAATGACCGTTCATCCTCTATACGTTTTAAATGCTATTTTTTAACTAACAGGATGGTACATTTTTTAACTTCTGGTAATTATCAGCAGTCAAAATTTTTCTACTCTGGTGCCATCAGAATTTGCTAGACTGAATGACTTAATTATGTCTCACCGGGTACATACTTGAGAACATTTAGGATGAAACTGTTAGGAACATTTAAGTCACAGGCTGTGCTTATGAAATTGGTTAAATCTTGCCAACTTTGGGATAAAAATACATACTTTCACTCTTGACGCGTGAGGTGTGCTAAGACTCTGTCTCAGAAGCCCATGTCTGGCTGCTCGGGGACAGTCGGCGCCGGGCGCCCTGCGGGGTTCACGGCCACACGAGGCGGCCCACAGGTGTCCCCACACCACCTTCTGGAGCCCCTGGCACACACACAGGTGTGCGTGTGCTTCTGGGGACCCCCCTGGACACCCGCCAAACTTTGGAGGAACAGACCCTGGACCAGTCCTCACGTCAGATGGGCCGTTGTTTCCTTCCATCTGTTCTGTTAAAAAGAAACACATCACAGGCACCAGGTCTCACGTGTATACATGTGTGACCCGTGTATACGTATTTGTACACGTGTTTCGCTGCGTTACCGGATACAGTTCCATCCCTGCAAAGGGCCGCACCCCCTTCCCCTGATCAGTTCATCCTTCTCCTCACCAGAAGACGTTCTGCATCTCACACCTTATATTCCTCCACCTCTTAAAATTCCTTTCTTGCTGGTTCCTGAGGCTCTGATATGGTCTGACGAGAAAGCCGGCGTTGACTTGCGGCACTGTGACCCCTGGGCCCTGCAGGAGTCTAGCCCTGGGGTCGGGGCGAAGGACAGGGACAGAGGGACAGGCAGGTGCAGGGGTGAGCACCGAGGCGGCCGCCGGGCGGGAGCGGCCGGTCCGGTCCTTCCGGCGGAGGCTCCTCCGTGGGCCCCCGGCCTGCTGCCCCAGCCTGCCCTCCTCTCTGTGCCCTGCCCCGTCCCTTGGTCTCTCTCAGGTGAAGCGCTGTTAGGAAGACCCGCTCCTTCCCTGGCGGCGCCCTCCCGCTGCCCCCAGCTCGCGCAGGCCCCGGGTCTGGCTGCGAGGCTGGGTTGTGCTCACGGACGGGAGGCGCTTCTGGAACCAGGCGCAGCCCCTCTCAGTATTTCTCCTCGCCTTGCAGCAGAGCACGAAACTCAAAGCATCGGTCGCCGCTGCGCCGGGCACGGACGGGCCACTTCTGAAGGACCTCTTGCCACGGCCGAGGCGCCATTAGCCAAGGATAGGTAACCGTGTCTGCCACACTGCCTGGCAGGCCTTCTGGGTGTGCTGTGATCCTTCCAAACTGTCTGCTTTTCCTCCAAAGTTTTGCTGTGCCATTTTGATAACAAAGGTTCATGATGAAAAAAAAACAGAACAAAAACATTTTTTACACACACACGTGTTTCTGTCCCAGGTAAGTGACCTGCCTGAGCGTGTCTGGGCCGCACGTGGCCGTGCACTGCTCATGTGCGCACACACATGTGTGCCGTGGCCTTCCACGCGCGTTTGCGGGATCCGCTCAGCCAGCGTGTTCAGAGCTTAGTTTGCCAGAACAAAGCTCATTCCTCGGCCTTGGTTGTGGAACGAGCTTCACCCAGAAGGTCTCTCAGGAAAGACCGTATTTTGACAAGACGGTGGAAGATTGCATGGTTTGCGTGGGACGTTGGCCCAGGCAGACGTCCGACACAGGTGTCCCGTTGTCTGTCAGCCGCCCCGGGGGGCCGTGTCTGCCCCAGAGAGGCCCGGAAATGGAGCCGCGCTCACGACGCGCCCTGAGCCGGGTGTCTCGGGTGTGACAGGCACACCGCCTTCTCTGCCCGGGGACGGTTATTCCTGTAAGACCGATTTCTCCCGGACTGCTTCCCCCAGGCTCTGCTGCCCGGTAAATTTAACAATGGCTGGGTGAGGTTGCTGGCCTCCTTGGGCCGTAAGAACCTGCACACACTGAGGTTGCCCGCGTGCGTGGAGGGGACCATGGACCCCAGCCCCAGTCCCCGGGGCCTCTGGCAGAGGTTTCGCACATGACGGAGCCAAGCGGGGCAGCCGCTGGTGGCCAGAATGCGGTCACCACGTTGGCTCTGTGTCCTCGGTCACATGGGACACGCACCGACCGTGTCTGGAACGGGAGGCCTGCGGGCAGCGTCAGAGCAGGCTGGGCGGGGTCCTTGGGGAGGGTCCCGGGACTGACGCTGTCCTCTGTGTTCTCCAACAGAGCACATGCGTGCGCGGCCGGGACTACCTCCCCGAACTCACCCTCCTGGCCTACCCGCAGAGCCCCAGCCCCTGGGCCGTGTGGCCAGGCCCGCACACAAAGCAGGCGATGCTGACGTGACCTCCCCTCGCCGGTCTCCTGCACAACCACCACCATCCCGGCCCTGCGCCCGATGGGACCGCTGGTGGAACCAGGACAAGCCTTTGAGAGCCACACGTGTGTGCTTCTCCCCGCCCCCGAAGGAGGGATGAGAACCACGGGACGTGTCTGGAACGCGTGGCTGGCAGTCGTCACCTCTCGTGGGGCTGGTGGCCCCCACAGCCTCCCTTGGGCATTTGGGACGACCCACTGCATCCCGGGCCAGGGCCTCCAGTCCCAGACACCGCCGGAGGAGGGCACCTGCGTGGAGGTGGGCCGTCGGCTTGAGCGGGGGTGGCCACACCGCCAACTGTCCGAGCACAGGGGCCTTGTCCTCACCGTGGGACGGGCCGGCCTTGCCTCCGTGCCTCCTTGTCCAGAGCGCTCTGGTCCTCGTGCTTCTGGAACTGGCCGGACCAGACCCTGGCGTCACCGTGCTCCTACAGCCTGTCGGAGTCCTGGACTGTGTCCTGCTTCTGTCCAAACCCGCTACCTAGCGAAGCTGCTTTCAGGGTCCTGTCTGACTCGGGGTTCGTCCCTCTGAGGGAGGACTAGCATCCCCCGTGTGAATCTGAGTGTTTCCCATCCCCAGCTGCCCCTGTGGAGAAAAAGTATCGTGTGTGACGAATGGAGAACACTGTCCACTCCAGCCTTCCCAATACGAGATAGGAGCTAGTGTTCCTCACACCTCCACGGATAGAGCCTCCCCACGTTCTCTTGTCCAGAGAGCTTTCCCCAGTTGTAGGGGAAGGCTGGTGGTCGGGGGCCGGGGGCCCGACCCTTCGATGTCCTCATGGAGAGGTGGCCTCCAGGGGCCGCGTCCACCTTCCAAAATCTATTTCAGGCCCACATAGGTCTGACGGTGAGGCGGTATCTGAATCCTGAGAAGCAGGATTGCCGCCCTGGCCCGCTGCCCATGGCCGAGACCCGGACCAAGCCCTGCGTGTTCTGTTGGATAAGCGCTGTGTTGTGATCCGCTGTCCAGGGCGTCATTTGGGGTGGGCAGACCTTGAGGCTGCTGCATTGACAGTCCCGGTCCCTTCTCTGTACTGCTGTTTGTTTCTAGAAATAACCTCCTTGACGTAGCCTTAATGGTCCACAAAGAAGACATTTCAGTCTGAGATTCAAAGTGTGGATGTGGAAACGGATGCCTTTTGAGAAAAGCATCGCCCGAAGCTAAACGACAAGCCGGCCCCTTGCCCGCTGCCGGGTTCCAGGCTGTGGCCCCGGCGACGCTGGTGAGTGAACACGGAGTCTGCTTCAGAGATGCTCCCTGCCAGGCATTTTGGGAAGCCCAGATTTCACAATTTGTATAATGTTTCGCCTATAAGATATTTATTTGAACTAGGGGATGAATTGACTGCGTACACAGAGTAGTTGGGGTAAGTCCAGGTGAAGTAGCAACAGCAAACCAAAGACCCGGAGAAAGGACGGGGAGTGCACCGGGGTCTCCGCCCTCCGTCCCGCGCGCCCCGCCCCCCGTGTGTGGTGGCCCTCCCGTCCACGCTAGGCCCGCAGCAGTGGTGTGTGCATTTTTACAGCCGTTTTTAAGAACCTAATATGGGTATAAGTGTAATACCTGTAGGGAGACAGATTCTCTGTATGTTTAGTTAACAAATTCTTTGTAATGTATTTTTTTAGAAATCTTAAAATTGCCTTTGCGCTGAAATATTTTCATAGCTGTTTCTATCCCTTTATTCATTTATTTGTTAATATACTACATCTAATTTTTAAAGTACGTTTTTAAAGCTTTTATTTTTTAAGTTGATGAACTTTTGGCCACTTTGCATTTAAATTCTGGTGGGCGTTTTGGCCGAATATCTCCATATCTGATGAATGTGAAGATTCAGGTTTGATTTTATTCTCTACACCTGTGTCCCCGGCGGCAGTGATTAGTTGAAGGCCTATTTAGAGCACAATATTTCGCTTGCTGATTCTTCACAGTTGATTGCGATTATCGTCTGCTTTTTGATTTGTTTTTCATTTCCGTCCTTCGGCCTTAAAATAGAAGCTTCTCGAGGGATGGTTTGGTACCCTCTGATAACGCACGTCTCGTTGGGAAAGTCGCTAACCCCTTACGTGCTCCCAGTGTCTCTTACAAGGTTGTTAGGGAATCCTCCGTGAGTGCGCCTCATCGGTGACGCGGGCCCGGGGCGGGAGGTAGAGCGGCAGAGCCCTCCGGGATGCGTGTGTGCGTGGGACCCAGTGCGATCTCTCACCTACACGAGTTCCTGTTTACTTGCCTTAAACTGACCTGAAAGCAAGTCCTGTCAACTTTGAGTGTTTGTTTTGGAAACCTCGTTCAGGACTGCACACGTTAATGAATTGCCAACCTGTGATCTCCCACACGGGTCCCAGCATCTGGTTCCCAAGCCGCACACCATCCCCTTCAGAGCAGGTCACACTAACACACAGGTGGTCCCCACCACGTCCCCGCCTCCTGTTTTCAGCTCCGTGTCCGCTCAGGGCCACACAGTACGCGCACATACAGGCTCCCTGGGCCCTGGCCATCCTGCCCGCTTCCTGAGGGGACCCTGCCGGGAGCTCCGGGAACACAAGGCTTGAGCCTCGTGCCCTGGCAGGACGCCGGAGGCGGGCACGGCAGCCCCGGGGGTGAGACGGGGCTGCGGATGGACATGCTGCAGCGCCTCCTCCTTGGGAAGACCCCCCACGGCTCTGCCCTCGGGACGGGGCAGAGAGCAGCGTCCGGACCGTCCGAGCCGCGGGGCCTCTGCGAGCCTCCAGGAGCACCGGCCGGCCCTCTGCCGCGGGCGGCGGGCAGAAGAGGCATCCTCCCGTTGGCAACTCCAGTGCGAACCCAGCTTGGCTATTCCTGTGCATTTGACTCCATAGGGTGAACGCCGACCAGATGAGCCCCTCGTGGTGGCCGGGCCTGCACTTGGGAAGGAGGCCCAGGCGCCCAGCTTCTGCAGTGACGGGTTCTAGAGTTGTAGTTTGGCCTGGTGAGATTTTGCAGCTTTAAGTACCAAAACGTCTCCTACATGCTGTTCTAATTAGTCTCAAATTGTTGCATATCAACCAAATGCCCAGTGCGGCCTAAAGGGAGTTTCCCGGCCTTTTTCTTTAAAACCACTGAGCTCACCGGTGTTGCACTGACCGGAGTAACCCAGTGCAATTCCTCCTCCTTTCCTCGGAAAGCCGTTATTTATTTAACAGCTCCGCGTCACATTTCCGTGTGCAGTTTCTTGCCTTCTACGTTTCTTTTAGAAGCTTCCCATTTAAAAACAGGAAAAATGTCAGTCGGCAAATACATTTTTTTGAGTTAGAGGGTAGGTGAATGAGAATGAGAATCATTCTGATGTTGTCTATAAACAAAGCTTTAATGAAGATGCGTCGGAAGTATTACTAAAGTGTGATTCTACTTTTGCAGAAAATAAAGATCAGTTTATATAGCTTTATTTTTTACCTTATCGAAATATACAGAATTTTAATATGCATATATTGTCTCTGACTTAAAACTATGATGTGTGTCTGCATTGCCATTTAAAATGTCTATTCATTATGTAATGTGATAAAAGAGAATCTTCAAAATGTATTTAACATGAATGGTATCTGTAGTTGTCATCATCATAAATACTGGAATTTATTTTTAAATTATTGAACATAGTAGGTGCGGTTAAGGTAATAAATCAGCCTCCAGGTAGTCAGGTTTAATTGATAATGATTCATTAACCCACTTTGAAAAATTAAATTGTGATTAAACCAAATCTTACACTTCTGTAAAGTTTATTTTGTATGCTACTGTTTTTAACTTTTATTTCTGTAGATAAAATATGACTTAATTATATCAGACTTTTCTGCAGATTATTTTTTTTAAGATTTATTTATTTATTTATTTATTGAGAGAGAGAGAGAGAGCGCATGAGAGAGAGAAGGGTCAGAGAGAGAAGCAGACCCCCTGCTGAGCAGGGAGCCCAATGCAGGACTCGATCCCGGGACTCCAGGATCATGACCTGAGCCGAAGGCAGTCGCCTAACCAACTGAGCCACCCAGGTGCCCCTCTGCAGATTATTTAAGCAGGAGACTTGAATCTGCTTGCAACAGAGAAGAAAAAAATGTCTGGTTTGGTTTCTTTATAAATAAATCAGCAGTTGGGCTTAAATCTCTGGGGACAGAAGCTGCAGGGTGAAACCTCTCAGCCTGAGTGTTTGGGCTGAAGGTGGGCAGGCGTCCCCTGGGTGACCGGGTGGCACGTCCACTCACTGAGGCCGCAGTGCGGCCCAGGTGCTCAGGACGGGAGAACGGCATCATGGATTCCTCGCTGAGCCGCCCCGTCGCCACCCGCAGCTCTTCTGACCGTCCTGCCTGGGCCCCGCACCCCGGGTGTAAGCTTCAGCTTGCCCCAGCCTCCTTCCCCCTTCCTCTGGCCCCTCCCATTCCTTCCTCCCGTCCAGACTCCAGGCCTGCGCCCTGCACAGGTCCCCTGTGCCCGCTGGTCGCACCAGCTCCACGACGCCTGTGGACAGCGGGCTGGTTCGTGTGTCCCCTCCCCGCCCAGTCAGATCCCCACGCTGCCCCCTCCCCCTCGGCTGGTCATTCACCTCCCGCCCACCGGCCACTGCGGTCCCTTCAGCACCTTGTCTGAGATTCGGAGCCGATTAGGGGACGAGGGTGGAGCCCGGTCGGGGATGCTCAGTTCTGGGGTGCCACCCCACAGGCCTCCCCAAACCTCTGGGAGGGACCTGGGCTCCACCACGTGCGGGCTTGTCCCCGGCCCTCGCGCCCCGTGACGCAAGCACGCATCCGGGGCTGAGTAACGTGGGCTGAATGGGTGGCCGGCACCGTCCCCGGCCAGCTGCCGGCGGCCAGCATGAGACTACGGAATATGCAACAGGAAGTAAAAGCCTCTGGCACTTGTCGTGGGTCTAACCTGCCTCGGTGACCCTGGTGGCTGGGAGGACAGCGCCTTGTCCTGCTGGTACGAGGCTCACAGGTATAACAACCAGCACCACTCACCTGTGTTCCCGTGAACACACAACCACTCGGTCATATCCTAACAACACCCACACGCTAGGGAGCTCCCTCTTGCACGGAGAAGTCTCGGGAACACGTCATTTCTCCATTTCTTTCCTGCATTGAGGGGATACCACTAAATTCCCCGAGGGAAAATGTTCACCTTTGTACATTTTTAGGATTCAGGCACGCATTGGAATAATGCAGGAATGACGAATGAAATAGCAAATGTCTAACTCATCACTGAGCTGCACTTACTTGTTCTCACCGAGCCTGATGGAGGCTCAACAGAAACCCGAGGGCCCATCAACTATGAATTAGACGAAGAATTTCGTGTACACTGAAGACGCCAACCCCACAATCAGTGGACAAGTGTCATGACTAATGGCAGCCAATCTTGGGAAAATAGAAATGGACACTTGACGCATACAGCACGTTACTGGAGGCGACCTATCGCTTGCCTTCCATCGTTTGTTTGCTCTGTTGACCCATCAGCAAGACACTGGGGGTCGCAGCTCCTGGGAGCCAGACACCCTAGGGGCCATGGACAAGTGCCATCCTAATTTCGTCATTAGAACTTTCAGATTCCTTGATGTATTGCTTGTGAAGAATATGTATTAGCCTTTAAAACTAGTCGCACAAAAATCACAATTTGAGAAAAGTCACGTCAATGCTCTTATTCACTTGGTTTTTACAAGATTCAAAGAGAGGGAAAGGGTTTTAAGATAATTAAGAACAAACACGTCCTCTTGAGAACCTCAGTGATAATATCTTCAGAATTTTTAAAGACCTGCTACAAATAGATGCAAAATATGAGATAAATATCAAAATAAATGTTTTAATTAGCTTAGACTTAGTGAATGATTACAGTTCCTCGATCTTTATGAATAGTGGAGCAGAAAGTATCTACGTCCCGGGAGGGCAAACGCAGGCTGAATGCCGACCAGTGCCCCCGGTCACAACCTTCCCCTCTGTGGGCCGGCCCACGCGGCCACGGGGTCGTTGGTCCTACGTGGACAGGACAGCATGGAAAGAGCACCAGGCGGCACAGACGTGGCCATCCTGCCTGGAGACCAGTCTGCTCCAGAAGCGCTCAACGGACACGAAGCCCGTGAGCAGCTTGCTGGCGGAGCGGGCTCCCTGGGGGCGCCGGGAGCGAGCCGCACGGACCGCGGCATGGATCACTGTCCCTCAGTCTGGATCCAGGTGGGTCTCCTGAGGCCGTGAGGGAGGGTCTGCTCGGGGCTCCGTCCTGCTCCTGGCCGCTGTAGGGGGTGGTCCTCGGCAGTCCTCCGCCTGCACACAGGTCACCTTGAATCTATGCTTCGTCTCCCCATGAGCGCGTCTGTGTCCAAATGTCCCTCATAAAGGACACCAGTCATATTCGGGGTTGGGGCCTGTCCTTATTTGAGCTTAATTGCCTCTGTAAAGACCCTATCTCCAAATAAGGTCACACTCTGACAGGGTCCTAGGAGTTAGGGTCTCAACATATCTTTTCGAGGGGACACAGTTCAACCCATGAGACCCTGCTTTGGGGGACCCAGTGGGAGATTCGTCGGCCTTAGGGGCTGGGCAAGCTCAGGCTGCGTGTGCCGGGCACGCGTGCCGACGACGAGCCGCAGAGAGCGGGGGCTGCTAAGAAGACAACAGCCCCGCTGCGAAGTCGTGGCCCAGGCCAAGCCGGCCCAGCCCGGGGGCCCTGGGGCCCTGGTTGAAGCAGAGCTGGGTGAGGAAGGGGACGAGAGTGCCCTGCTATGGAAGGGTGGGACTCAGACCCGCCCGACCCCGCAGGGCCCTGCCTCCTCCACGAGCTGCCTTGGGGGCAGCCACCCCTTTGGTCAGCGGCCTCCCTGTCCGCTGAGCGGCCCTTCCACACAAAACTCCCGTGGCCATCAGCTGGGGTGCACTCCTCAGCTCCCCTTTAAAAACCCTCAGGAAGGGGTCTCTGTTTGCCACCTCTGTACCCCCATTCTCTTCTCGGCCCACCCAAACTGGGCTCATCTCCCACTCCCCTGGGAAAGCCCGGACACCCCTGCACCCCAGGCCCCAAGGGCTGGGCAGGGGAAGAGGGCGGGGAGGGGCGCTCCCCTGCCGTATCTGTGTTCACAGCTGCACGGCCCCGGGGACTGCGCGGAGCCCGGGACAGATGCAGGGCTCAATGACAATGCAGCTCCCTGAATACTCCCCACACCTCAAGGCTCGCAGCCCCGCCTGCCCAGCTGAGCTGGACTCCTGGGCTGTGGTCCGGCAGACCAGCCCTGGCCACTTGCTTCCAGAAGTGGACGTGCAGGACTTAAGGGCCCCGTCACGGCAGAGCCGGCCGTCGGGAAAGCAATTACACCCGAGGGCACCTTAGTTCAGGAGGAGCGAGCAAGGGAGGGACATCAGCTGCTGAAGGGTCCAGGTAGGCTTGTGGTCTGCCTGGGGGCCGGAAGAGGGTACCCCATCTTCCCCCCACAAGGTTGGTTTTCTGAAACCCTAGGCAGCCCCCCAAAGGATGGCCAGCAGGCCCCCCGGATTGCTGCAGGCATATCCCCGTTTGTCCCCTCCTCACTTTGGACCCAGTGTGACAAGGGCGGAGACACCCTGAGGGAACCCCGATTTTCTGAAGGGGACGAGGAGTGCCCTGTGCCTCTTCTCCTTAGCCCTACGTGGAGACTGGCTGTGTTTACCACCTGAGGTGTTACTGCTTTTTCTTAATAGAGACTTTCTTGGGGGGCGCCTGGGTGGCTCAGGCAGTTGAGCATCTGCCTTGGGCTCCGTCCCAGGGTCCTGGGAGCGTAGGGCTCTGCGCTCAGCCTCTGCTGCCGCCCCCAGGTCACGGGCACGCACACGCTCTCTCGCGCACTCTCTCTCGCAAATAAATCTTTTAAAAAAGTAGAGACTTTTTTGGGAAAGCAGTGCTTTTATATAAATGATTTAATCTCAAATGCTAGTTTTAAACAGTAAATCAGAGAAACAGGGACAATTTGGAAGGCAGATGGACCCTCCCAGGCTGGTCCCAGGGCACAGTGACCCACGGGGACAGCCTTGCAGGACTCCAAGCGTGGGGGTCTCCTGCTCTGCCACAGTGTTGACGGCGGTCCAGATCTGGAATCGGCAGGCAAACGTCATCTCCCACCTCCGGACCGAGCCAGAGTCTGCAGCCCGAGCTCAGAACTCGGGGCCCAGGCCCCGAGCACCCCAGGCGGGTGCTCTGTCCCCTGCAATCTCTCCTCTCACATGGATCCCCCACCGTAAGCAAGGATACCGCGGTGCAAATGGCCCCTTGTATTTGTGCTCTGCGGTGCACTTTCTGGAGCCGCGTTTGTGATGGTGATTTCCTTGTGCCTCACGGGGGGCTTGGGAGCTGTGCAAGCCACAAAGGGCTCATCCGGCCATGATGAGCAGGAGGCCAGCAGGGCGCTGCTCGGACCAGGGATGAGCTGGCCGGCTTTTGTACTCGGGGAGATTCATTTCCTCTTGAATCACCTCAACTTTAGAATTAGCCCTAACATTCTCTGAACAGCACAGGAATTTTGGGGGTTTGTCCTCTGTGCTTTCACTGCGTTGGGGACCATGCGCCGAAGCAGACCGCTTTCATGTTCTGGGCTTGCTGGTTTGCTGGCCCCCAGAGCTGCTTGCCAGCCGACCCCGTCCGGGTGTGGGTAACGGAGATGAAGATGCGGGATCCTGGCTGGGAACCCCTGCGTTGTGGCAGGACACACTCCCGTCGGGGGCCCGTGTGCGCTGGCCTGTGGGACCTGAGCCCGCAGCCCGCACACATTCTGACCAGGGTCACCGCACGGGTCACCTGCCATTTCCCCTCATTTTCTGCGCCAGCGGCACAGTCGG